ATGACCAATTAAGTTGATTTAAGATGAATAATGGGATGAAAACAATTGGAAAATTTTAGAAATTCAATTCCTTAGAACATAAAGGTAACTCAGATCATAAAAGCCTAGTTTCTTATTTTGTTACTAATATAAAATGACAACAGACTAAGTATCTTGGAGGTAGTAATAAAAGGAAAAAGGAAAGACAAGTGTATGTGTATACATGCATACGTACATGTTAGCATGATTATATGTATGTGTGTATTGTAGATAAGAAAATGAGGAAGTGGCGCTGTGGCTCAAGCAGTAGAACACTCGCCTTGAACTGAAGAGTGCAGGGACAGTGCCCAAGCCGAGTTCAAGCCCCACAACCGACCAAAAAAAAAGAAAAGAAAAGAAAATGAGAAGAGACAACCACAGATCCAAATAGTTACATGAATGCTTTGTAATTTATGCTGATAATTTTAAATTTTAATTATGAACTAGGAAAATACAGATTACTAAAATTGAAGTAGAAAGAGAAAAGAGGTGTAGGCCCAAGCAATTGGAAAAAAAATGAAGAAAAAGCTGTTTTTAAAAATTAAGAACTGGCTGGGTGCTGTTGGCTCACGCCTATAATGCTAGCTACTCAGAAGGCTGAGATCCTTGGATTGGTTCAAAGCCAACCTGGGCAGGAAAGTCTGTAAGACTCTTATCTCCAATAAACCACTCAGAAAATTGGAAGTGCTGCTGTGGCTCAAGTGGTAGAGTGCTAGCCTTGAGCTGAAGAGCTCAGGGACAGCGCCCAGGCCCAGAGTTCAAACCCTGCGACCAAAAAAAAAAAAAAAAAAATTAAAAACTACCATTCTAAAAGGACTTGGCATAAGAGTAGTGGGCAAAGGCTCAATAGCTATAGACAGATGATAATATAAAATAATAGTCTATGAAATGAGGCTGGGAAGGTGGCTCAGAGGTAGACTGCTTGCCTTGCATGCATAAAGTTGGAAGGGGCTCTGTGGCTCAAGTGGTAGAGTGCTAGCCTTGAGCTGAAGAGTTGAGGGACAGCGCCCAGGCCCAGAGTTCAGGCCCCAATACCGACAAAAATATTTAAAAGCCGATAAAATGAACTCCCAAAAAAAAGGAAACAAGAGAAACTCTAGTTTTCTGGGTTTTTTGTTTTGGGTTTTGGTTTTTTGTTTTTTTTTTTTACTGTGAAAATACTGTACAGAGGGGTTACAATTATATGAGCAAGGTAATGAGTACATTTCTTATCAAGCATCGTTGCCTCCTCCTTTGTTTCCCCTTACCATACCTTCCCATCTCCCTCCACACACACCCCTGGTCCTCCCTCCCCTGTTTTTGTTTCTTTGTCAGTTGTGGGACTTGAACTCTGGGCCTGGGGCTGTCCCTGAGCTCTTCAGATCAAGGCGAGCACTCTAGCCACAGTGCCACTTCCAGTTTTCTAGTGGTTTATTGGAGATAAGAGTCTCACGGTCTTTCTTTTTTTTGGTCCAGTTGTGGGGCCTGAACTCTGGGCCTGAGCACTGTCCCTCAGTTCTTCAGTTCAAGTCCAGCACTCTACCACTTGAGCCACAGCGCCACTTCCAGCTTTTTCCTTTTTGCTTATGTGCTGCTGAGGGATTGAATCCAGGGCCTCATGCATGCAAGGCAAGTGCTCTACCACTGAGTCACCTTCCCAGCCCCATCTCACAGTCTTTCTTGTGCGAGCTGCCTTTGAACCGTGATCCTCAGATCTCAGCCTCCTGAGTAGCTAGGATTACAGGCGTGAGCCACCAGCATAGTTTTCTGTTTTTGTTCTCTTTTCCTTTTATATTGTTTGTTACTTTGTTTGTATTTGGGAGGGTAAGAGAAGGCACATAAAAGGTGAAACAAGGATGAACAAATACAGCAGTGATACCAGACACTATGTAGAAAATGAACTGGATATCTTATGGGTGGGGATGGGAGGGAAAGATTGGGAGAGAGCCCTGGAAGGGGGAAAATGGTTCAAAAAAAATTATACTGGTGGTACTTGATTCATGTAACTATAACTACACACACACACAGATACACACACATAAAATAAGTGTAAAAAACCCAAGTTATTAACTTCATGAATACCATTATTTTATTCTATTTCTCTACTATTCAGAATTTGGAAATAAAGGGAAAAAAATCAAGTACTTGAAAATAGCAGGAGGCTGGGAAGATGGCTCAGTGGTAGAGCGCTTACCTTGCATGCCTGAGGCCCTGGGTTCGATTCCTCAGCACCACATAAGCAAAAAGAAAAAAGCCAGAGTGGCGCTGTGGCTCAAGTGGTAGAGTGCTAGCCTTGAGCTGAAGAGCTGAGGGACAGCGCCCAGGCCCAGAGTTCAGGCCCCAGGTCCGGACCCAAAAAAAAAAAAAAAAAAGAAAATAGCAGGAAATCAAAGACAAGCTTAGGCAAAACAAACAAATGCTCAAGACATATTGCTAAAATAGCAATCAATAGAATTCTATGGTAAGAGGGCCTTGTGGATGCTTAAAATTACTTAGTTTATACACTATTATTTGGACTTACTTTAGAAAATAAAAAAATTCAGAAAGGAAAAAAAAGACTTGGTATAGATGATTTCACAAGCCACTTTTTGTGCTGGAATTAGGACTGGAACTCAGGACCTTGCCCTCTTGTTTAGCTTTTTTTTTTTTTTTTTTTAAATTCTGTGCTGTTACTTTACCAGTTAACTCGCACCTCTAGTTCCAGATTTTTGCTGGTTAATTGGAAATAAAATTCTCTCCGATTTAGGGGCTGGGAAGGTGGCTCAGTGGTAGAGTGCTTGCTTTGCATGCATGAGGCCCTGGGTTTGATTCTTCAATACCACATAAGCAGAAAAAGCCGGAAGTAGCACTATGGCTCAAGTGGTAGAGTGTTAGCCTTGAGCCGAAGAGCTGAGGCACAGTGTCCAGGCCCAGAGTTCAGGCCCCACAACCAACAACAACAACAACAAAAAGTCTCTCAGATTTGTCTGACCAGGCTGGTTATGAACTGTGATCCTTAGATCTTAGCCTCCTGAATAGCTAGGATTACAAACATGAGCCACCAGTGCTTGGCTCTTAAACTACTTTTTTTGTGTCTTCCAAAGGATAATTCCTATACTACATAATTATAGTTAAGTATGCAGAAAAGGTGGATCTTTTCATATTTTAATAGCATTAACAAAATCCCAATATGATATCCAAACAAAGTTAGCTCCAAAACAAGAAGAAAGCCATAGACCAATTATGAATATACATGAAAACTAGACACAGAAATAGTAAAAATGGGGTCTAAAGGTATACAAACTAAATCCGGGCACTGGGGGTCATGCCTATAATCCTAGCTACTCAGGAGGCTGAAATCTGAAGATTGTGGTTCAAAGCCAGCCCCAGCAAGAAAGTCCGTGAGAGTCTTATCTCCAATTAACCACCAGAAAACCAGAAGTGGCGCTGTGGCTCAAGTGGTAGAGCACTTGCCTTGAGCTGAAGAGCTTAGGGATAGCACCCATGCTCAGAGTTCAAGCCCCATGACAGACAAACACACACACACAACACACAACACACACACACACACCTCCTATAGGCTTTAACTCAGTAATTTACAAATGGTTGGTTAAGAAATTTGATGTAATTTGAGGCCAACTTAGGCTACATTAATGAGACCCTGTCTCAAAAAAGAACTTTTCTGCATCAAAGGATATTACCAAAAATAATATAAAACTATAAACTAGTGGAACATATTTGGAAATCACTTATCATGTAAGAATTTAATATCCAGAATATATAAGAACAACCCAACAATTTAAAGATAAACAACCCTATGAAAAAATGCACTGAGTTCAAGCTCCACACTGACAAAAAAAAAAAGCACAAAATACCAGGCAACTAAGGAGAATGAGATCTGAGACCCTCTGTTCAAAGTCAGCCCAGGCTTTTATGCTTTAGATCCAGTTAATTCAGAAAACATTTAGGGGTCACCATGCATTTTTTAATTTTAATAACTTTTTTTTCCCCTTGTCTCCCCATTCACAATACAGACTAGGCACAGGCCTGGACTGAGGTGTATATGGGGTAGGTTTACGCTGCCTCCTCTTTCTATACAGTCAGTGTAAGAACACAGCCTGTGGTAAGCACCCGGAGGCCTTTTTTTTTTTTTTGTCTTGGGGCCTGAACTGTGGGCCTGGGCGCTGTCCCTCAGCTCTTCAGCTCAAGGCTAGTGCTCTACCACTTGAGCCACTGTGTCACTTCCAGCTTTTTCTGCTTATGTGCTGCTGAGGGATTGAATCCAGGGCCTCATGCATTCAAGACAAGCACTCTACCACTGGGCCACCTTCCCAGCCATCCTTTTAATAACTTTCTGAAATAATTATTTTAAATCTCATTCATGTGAAGATACTGAAGATAAGTAAAATAATAATAATAAAGTATAAAATGCCAGTGAATAGGGCTGGGAAGGTGGCTCAGTGGTAGAGCGCTTGCCTTGTATGCATGAGGCCCTGGGTTCAATTCCTCAGTGCCACATAAGCAAAAAGAAAAAAGCCGGAAGTGGTACTGTGGCTCAAGTGGTAGAGCGCTAGCGTTGAGCTAAAGGGTTGAGGGACAGCGCCCAGGCCCAGAGTTCAGGCCCCATGACCGGACCCAAAAAAAAACAACAAAAAAAAACCACCAATGAAATTATATATAAATTAAATAATAAATAAATAAATAATATATAATAATTTTCCTACATTGGCCTGGAGTTTCACCAGGACAAGAATACCATATAGTCACTACTCAACAAATGTAGCAATGGGGGCTGGGAAGGTGGCTTAGTGGTAGAGCGCTTGCCTTGCATGTATGAGGCCCTGGGTTTGACTCATCAGCGCCACATAAGCCGGAAGTGGCGCTGTGGCTCAAGTGGTAGAGCGCTAGCCTTGAGCAGAAGAGCTGAGGGACAGTGCCCAGGCCCAGAGTTCAAGCCCCACGACTGGACCCCCCCCCCAAAAAAAAAAATGTAGCAATGCATTAACCTTTTTCTTTTTCTACAGTACCTTGGCCATGTGGAAGTTGATGAGTCAAGAGGAATGCACATCTGTGAAGATGCTGTAAAAAGACTGAAAGCTGTATGTATATGATGGTTGTCAGTATTGCTCTGTAGCCTATCAATATTTTCCTTCAAAGTTGTATTCAGTAAATTTTAGTTTTCCTCTATCCAGTGAAGAGCTGTTTTTATTGAGGCAAGAGATATAGGCTCATCAGGCAGGCACAGGGACTGACTCACATTTATAATCCTACTTACTTGGGAGAATGAGATCAGGAGATCACACTTCAGGGCCAGCTTGGACAAAAAGTTAGCAAGACCTCATCACAACAGAAAAATAATGCTGGGCCTGGTGGCATGTGCCTGTTATCCAAGCTAAAGTGAGAATCATCTATAGTATCAAAATCTAACCCAGCCCAGGCCCAAAGCAACACCCTGTCTCAAAAATAACCATTGCAAAGCCGGGCGCTGGTGGCTCATGCCTGTAATCCTAGCTACTCAGGAGGCTGAGATCTGAGGATCGCGGTTCAAAGCCAGCCCGGGCAGGAGAGACCGTGAGACTCCTATCTCCAATAAACCACCAGAAAACCGGAAGTGGTGCTGTAGCTCAAGTGGTAGAGCGCTAGCCTTGAGCTGAAGAGCTGAGGGACAGCGCCCAGGCCCAGAGTTCAAGCCCCATGACCGACAAAAAAAAACAAAACAAAAAACAAAAATAACTATTGCAAAAAGGGTTGGAGGCATGGCTCAAGTGTTAGAGTGCCTGCCTAGCAAGCTCAAGGCCCTATGTTCAAACCACAGTGCCACAAAAAGGATATGGTCTTACAAAAAAAAAGAACATCTCTAGTTTCTTTAATTTAGGCCATACATTATCCAAAATGTAGTCTTGATTTACCATGATCCATATAATCTAAGTGGTGCAATTTGATAGAAGAATAATATTCTAAAACCAGGATAAAATTGTTACAGTTAACATCTTTACCTAACTGTGATAACTGTTATTTTCAGTTTGAATAATTGATTTTTAAATATATTATAAGAAACAGCTTTCTAGGAAAAAGTAGAAAATACCTGTAGAGATACATGTGTTAATCCCTAAGATTTACTTTGCGGGGCGGGAGTGGCCCTTAATGATTTCTCATTATCATCTTGGCTCCTAGTTCCCAGTTTTCTCTCTATACTTCTCTTAAGCAGTCTGTTTCAATAAACTAGTACACTTGAAATAGCCCTTTTCTAGAATCAGTAATGTTTCTTTGGTCTGTTATATCTTGAAACACATCCCATGTACATGTCTGTATATTTAGTAAAAGGAGAGAATGGTTCACAGTTCACAAGGGTCCAGATTAGAGTGCTGATTTCGGTAGGTCTGAGGAATGTTCCCATAGACTCTGAAATAACTCTTGACAAGTTTCCTTCTCTCCAATGTGATAGCTTTTCCCCACTTTTCTGTGAAAGCTTCAGCATTACTTCTGCATGCCCTTACCAAAGCAGCATTAAGTTTGTGTTGCTTTGGGTTTGCTGGTATGGTGGGCTGCTGCTACAAGTTTGACTACTAATGAGTGCTTTTTGTTTGTTTTTCAATTTGCTAAGTAACTATAGCTTTTCTGCTTGTTAGTATAGTTCACATTACATTACCTCTTAACTATAATTCCTCAATGTATAATATATGAAATTTTCAAACATCGCAGAGAGGTTTAACTTTAGAGTAAATGCCTTAACCTGTTGTAGAAAAGAAAGGAGAAAAATAACTGGTTGTAGAATGCCTAGAACAATCACAACCCAAAGTGTACACAGGTACACTTGCCTTCATATATACATATATATATATATATATATATATATATATATATATACTTTTGCTTCTGATTTAAATTCTTAAATGATTGAAGCCCTTCCCAGTTTTTCTGTATTCCCAGTTCATCAATATTAAGAGGACATATATCCAATGCACTTAGGAACATGAAAACTATAATTTTATAGATTTGATATATCTGAACATATTCCCCAATTAAATGCAGATAGATAATTTAATTTTCCAATTTTTGCCAAACTAATCTCAAAGAAAAATAGAGGTTCAGTTTCTTCTCTTGAAAAATAATTTTGGCTCCTCTAAAAGACAAATGATTCTAGCTCAGAACATTTGAAAATAATATAATTACTTTCCCTACTTAAAAATATTTTACAGCACTATATTAGTAGTAACTGCAAACAGAAAAACCAGTAAACGGACTCAGTAAGCCTGAAACAAACTGTAATTATTAAATTTTAAAACTAGATGTTATAAAACTATATGTGTAATGAACCTTTAGGAAATCATTTAATTCTGATTCTGGCATCACATTCATTCTCTAAGGAAAAGCTAAAGATGATTTAAGTTTGTCCAGAAAATACTGAGAAATTGTATCCCATTGTTTGTTTGTTTTGCCAAACCTGGGGCTTGAACTCAGGGCCTGGGCACTGCCCCTGAGCTTTGTTTGCTCAAGGCTAGTACTCTACCACTTGAGAGCTACAGCACCACTTCCAACCTTTTCTGTTGATGTGATTCTGAGAAATCGAATCTAGGGCTTCAGGCATGCTAGACAAACACTCTACCACTAAGCCACATTCCCAGCCCTGTATCCAATTGTTTAATGAGCAGTCAATCATACTTGTTTGTTTTATTTTTAAATTTTAGTTTTAACTTTTAATTAGAAATATTTATTATGTAAAATACAAATGAACTTGAAAATTCACAACTAAAGTAAGATCTCTTACAATTCCAAAAATAACCAATATTTAACCATCTAGTTTTAAATTAAGTTTGGAAGCATTGGTGGTACTATAGTTTGAACAGATAAAGAGCCTTGAGCTTGTGAAGGGTATGTTCTACCCTGAGTCATGCCTCCAAGCCCATTTTGCTTAAGTTATTTTGGCGGTAGATTGTCTCATTTTTATCCGGTCCAGTCTAGACCACAGTCCTTCTATTTATACTTCTGCCATAGCTGAGATGACAGGAACACACCTGCATACCAGCTTTTTTGGTTTAGATGGGGGTCTATACACTTTTTTGCCCAGGCTGGACTCAAACTGTAATTTCTCCCAGCCTCCACCTCCTGAGTGTCTAGGATTACCAGTGCAAGCCACCACTGCCTGGCCAAGTTGTTGTTTTTTTTTTAATTAATTAATTAATTAATTTTTTGGTCAGTGGTGGGGCTAGAACTGGGCACTGTTCTGAGCTCTTCAGCTCAAGGCTAGAGATCTACCACTTGATCCACAGTGCCACTTCTAGCCTTTTCTGTTTATGTGATACTGAGGAATCAAACCTAGGGCCTCATGCATAGAAGGCAAGCACTCTACCTCTGAGCTACCTTCCCAGCCTCCAAGTTTTTACTTTTTTAAAGCCAAGTAGACTGCTAATTATAAGCATAGTTATTTGAGGTGCAGGACTATTTAGATAAAATGTAATGAATTTCTGTTTACCAGAAATAGGAACTAAATTGCCATTTTAAAAAATTATGCCTGGAATAGCATGTGGCATATAGTAACTACTAAAATAAATTTCTGAAATGAATATACAAGTCTAGTCCCGGGGCTGGGAGGTGGCTCAGTGGTAGAGCGCTTGCCTTGCATGCATGAGGCCCTGGGTTCGATTCCTCAGCACCACATAAGCAAAAAGAAAAAAGCCGGAAGTGGCGCTGTGGCTCAAGTGGTAGAGTGCTAGCCTTGAGCTGAAGAGCTGAGGGACAGCGCCCAGGCCCAGAGTTCAGGCCCCACGACCGGACCAAAAAAAAAAAAAAAAAGAAAGTTCTACATACATTGGAGATTGCTTTTCTGGACATACTTAAACTATTGAGCTTGGAGAGAAAATTGATCAGTGGTAGAGCATCTGCCTAGCGAACTCTTGAGTTCAAGCCCCAATACCACCATAAATTTTCATCAAAAAGTTATTTTAAAGTTCTCAGAGTTTCTCCATTACTTGGAACAATTAAGTGTAGTTTTGCTTTAGCAAGTACATTAAAAAATCATTTTGAATTTTTGAGTAACTGGGATAAACTTCCTACTTATTATGCTCAGTGAAACTTTTCCCTTGTATTAATACCCTTCTGCCACCACACTAAGAATCTTTCAGAGAGTTGGGAATCTTTAGGATGCTGTCCTCACATCATGCAGGTCCACATGTACTCATTATTTTTGTCTTTCTTTCACATTCCTATTATGTAGAAATATCAAGGTGCCTTCATTTTTGTCTTTGACCTTCTTCTAGTAAGCATTCACTAAGGATCTACAATTTGCTGTACCAGATACTTATTGTATCGTATATTATGCTCTAGAAGCTTTTTGTTTGTTCTTTAAAAGATCTTAAAGCTTTCTGTTAAGAATTTCAAATAAATGTAAACAAATGTAGGGTATATATTTGATGAGGATCACAGAAGAGAAATCTTTGGAATCTGTTTGAATGTCAGAATTTTAAAATACAAAGAATTATGTAGCTCAAAAGATGGTTTGCAAGTCTAGTTTGTATGTATGCAGATCTCTCATCTAATCCCTTACAATTTAGAATCCCTGACTTCATTTGAAAGTCACCTGCTTAGTTGATAGTCTCAATTTTAAAAAATCACTGAACAAGACGGTTTTAAAAATACGATCCTCAAACCAAATACTTTATTTTTGATTCTTACACTTTCTGCACATGGATTGTTTTACAACTATTTACAACTCATCTAGTTTTTTTAATAGTTTCACTAACCACCATAGGACTGGATTATGTAGGGGAAATGACAAAAAAAATGGCTATTGCCTATTTTTGTCTATATGTTGCAGGGTAAGGAACACTGCCATTTATCAATCAACTGGGTAATATTGTATGAGGTCTTTAGGTATCTTGTTTCACTCTGGTCTACAATGCCTTTCATTTTTTAAGGCCATTTCCTTCTGTTACATCTTAAATATTTCTCTCTTTCTGTCTTGGTTTTAAACTAGTTTCATTATACTACTAGTTCCTCATATGTTGGTTTTGTTCATTATTTGATATATTTGTTTTAATATATGTTCTTGTTTTAGCAGGTAAAAGAATCATAACTTAATTATTTTTAAAAGAACATTAATATTCTCTAATAACTGTCTTTTAATGCATTTTTCACATCAACTTTTATCATTAACATCTGAGGCCCTTTAGAAGAGGGAAAACACCATGTTTAACAAGAACATTTCTAAGAACTACACTAAATATTAACAATCTTCCGTCTCTTCTCTATCCTCTGTGAATGGTCAATTTTTTTAACTTGGGCTGCATCCCATTCTTGAAAGCTGTTATTTACTTATAGTCTAACAAAACTAGTCCTAACAAACTTGGCAGCAGAAATAATTTCACGCTTGCTTTGATACCCAGGTTACTTTATTATTTTTTACCTCCAATTTGAAATATTTTGTGGAAATATTGATGCTATTTGTAACTTTAAAAACTCAGTATTTGAAGGCATTGAATAAGTTCATAAATTGTCACATTCCAGTAGAGTTGTCTTTTTTCTAAATATTTTTCTAACAATCAAAAGTGGTGATTGGCTGGGCACCAATAGCTCACATCTATAATTCTAGCTACTCAGGAGGCTGAGATCTGAGGATCACTGTTCAAAGCCAGCCCGGGTAGGAAAGTCCATGAGACTCTTATCTCCAGTTCACCACCACCAGAAAAAGGAAAGTGGTGCTGTAGCTCAAGTGGTAGAATGCTCTCCTTAAGCTGAAGATCTGAGGGATAGCGCCCAGGCCCAGGGTTCAAGCCCCATGACCAACAACAAAAAAAAGTGATAATATGAATAGTAAAGGCTCAAAAGTATAATTCAGCCTTAGTTAGAAAATATAGTTAAAGTAGGTTGGGTGAGTTAGAACCAAACTGCTTTTCAAATGTTCTTTAGTTTGTGACAAATTTTTGTAACCAGTACTTAAAATTGATGGTGGAGCCATAGATCACTGTGCCTCTTACCATGTGGGTTCAGGATTGTATACTTAAAAATATCAATGCAGATATCTTTATTTTAAAACAATGTCATTTTAAAAGAAAACAAAACCTTTTTCCTTAAATCTTGCTTGTAGTCCCAGATGTGATTTGGTTCTCAGATATATTTGCTGAGCTCCAAGGTAAAAATTAACCTTGTGATCCTTATAAACAATGTATTCTGTATCTAGAATAGAATGTATCTGTTATTTCTCAACGTATTGTGGAGACACATCTAGATTTTAATGCATAAATAAATGGAAAATCATTAATGAAGCTTCTCTTCTGTAGAATGGGAGCCTCTCTAGATCACATCATTGGCTGAGTAAGAAAATGTATGACAAAGACATTCGATGCATAGTCCTAATTTTATTTTACATGTTGCAGTTTTTATTTTGTTTTCAGTAGTTCTGGGTATCAAAACAGGGCCTTACATAGATTAAGGAATCACTATACCATTGAATTACATACCCAGGCTTGTTGCAGTGTTTATGTGATTATTTGATTTTAACTAATGATTTTTATATCATTGACAGTATATTGATCACTTATTTTTTGTTTGTTTTTCATTGGGGGGGTGTTTGTTTTTTAATTGAACTCAAGCATTTTACTACTTGAGTCACACCTCTGGTCCATTTTTGGCACGGTTCTTTTCTTTTTTGGTGGGGGGGGTCCGGTCGTGGGGCCTAAACTCTGGGCCTGGGCGCTATCCCTCAACTCTTCAGCTCAAGGCTAGCGCTCTACCACTTGAGCCACAACGCCACTTCCGGCTTTTTTCTTTTTTTGCTTATGTGGTGCTGAGGAATCGAACCCAGGGCCTCATGCATGCAAGGCAAGCGCTCTACCACTGAGCCACCTTCCCAGCCCTGGCACAGTTATTTTCATGATATGGTTTTGTTTCATGCCCAAGCTAGCCCGGGTTACAGTCCTCTTAATTGTGCTTCCCCCTGTTGCTGGAGATGACACCCAGCCATTGGTTGAGATGGAGTCTCACGAATTTTTCTGCTAGGATTACATTCTTTTTTTTTCCTTTTTTTTCTTTTTCTTTTTACCAGTCATAGGGCCTGAACTCTGGGCTTGGGCACTGTCCCTCAGCTCTTCAGCTCAAGGCTAGCACTCTACCACTTGAGCCAGAGCACCACTTCTGGCTTTTTCTGCTTAGGTGGTGCTAAAGAATCAAACCCAGGACCTCATACATGCAAGGCAAGCACCCTACCACTGAGCCACTTTCCCAGCCCTAGGATTACATTTTTGAGCCATCACACCCAGTCCTTATTTTGTTATTCTTAAAAAACAGATCTCTGTGTTGTCATGGCTGGTGCTGAACTGCTGGGCTCAAGTGATCCTCCTGCATCAGCCTCCCTAGTAACTAAGACTAAAGGCACATGTTACCATAGCCAGCCATGACTCCTTTTAAATTGAAAAAATGCATAATATGAAACCAATCTTTAATAATCACTAGTATGAATTTAAAATGCAAAGTCATACCAAGCTGGTACGTTCCAGTCTTTTTCTGCTGCCAAATTGGGATAATCTCTGTTTGAAATTAGTAAATAGAGATTACTAAATTAAGTAATAGCTCTGCATGACTGCAGGCTTTGATTTCTTATCTTTCCACAGATTCTCAGGCCATGTAGTGTGTTTCCCCGCATTTTCATGCACCTTTCCATTTTCTCTGTCACTCTTGGTATGGATAACTCTTTAAAACTCTCACACCTTTCTCCTACTTTGCCCTCTCCCCTTCTTCTGTATGTGCTTGTTGGTGTAAAACCATAGGACATATAGCCCATACAATAATAGCATTCGACTTGTCCCCCTGTTCCTCCAGGAAAGGAAGTTCTTCAAAGGCTTCTTTGGAAAAGTAAGTTTGATACCACACCATGCTTGCTTTATAAGGAGTTACATCCCTAGTATAGCACTAACATATACATATATATATGCATACATATATATATATTTAAGTACAGATTTGACTGTAAAACAGGAAATAATTTGTAGAAATTTATGGATTAGTTACTGTCTATATTATTGCCTATTTATATTTTGAACTTAAACTTGATAATCCAATAAATGAAACAAACTTTAAAAAATGATCTCAGCACTTAGTATTAAGTAAATTTCACTTGATCTTGGAAAACTGTCATTTTGCTATAATTTATTTTAACAGCAGATCTTAGTATCCAGAACTGTCAAAGAAATGGGAAGAAATATTAAATTCAAAGAAAATTTAAGATACTGTACATTTTATATTCAATGCTATTACTTGTTTCAATCTAAGTTAAATCTCAGAGTAATAAGTGAAAGTACATAAACTTATCTTTGTTGATCCTGATAAAAATTTTTACCTGGGGGGCTGGGAAGGTGGCTCAGCGGTAGAGCGCTTGCCTTGCATGCATGAGGCCCTGGGTTCGATTCCTCAGCACCGCATAAGCAAAAAGAAAAAATCTGGAAGTGGTGCTGTGGCTCAAGTGGTAGAGTGCTAGCCTTGAGCTGAAGAGCTGAGGGACAGCGCCCAGGCCCAGAGTTCAGGCCCCACAACCGGACCCAAAAAAAAAATTTTTTTTTTACCTGGATACCAATCTAAGAAAATTTGTCTTAATAGTGTACTAAATATCTCTCGTACCTGTCTAGTTATTATGGTAGTGGCACAAAAATAAGTAAATACATTTCCTAACATTTTTGATCATTATTTAGTTGTGAGTAAGTGCTCTGAGGTAGCCAGATTGAGATAGAGAAAAAGATCGTCATGGACAATTGAGTGTAAGATACTAAGAGTTTGAGTATAAAACCCTGTCATGATTTCATTATTTTCTACTGGGTAGTTTTGTTATTTTGGAAATTCATTCTGAAGAATAAAATTTCAATTTCCTTCTCAATTAAATGCCTTAGCTTTAGCCCATTTCTACATTTTCTTATTCTAGTAGGTTAACATTTACACTAATTTAAACAAGTTTGAAACATTATAGATTTAATTGTTTAATTAAATTACCACCATTAATCTAAAATGAAAAGTCAAATAATCAACATATGTCACAGAATTTTTAAGTAGACATTTTGAGTCTAACTCAGACTAACAGTTTCTTAAAATACAGGATACAGTCGGGCACCAGTAGCTCATGCCTGTAATCCTAGCTACTCAGGAGTCTGAGATCTGAGGATCATGGTTCAAAGCCAGCCCAGGCAGGAAAGTCCGTGAGACCAGAAAACCGGAAGTGGCACTGTGGCTCAAGTGGTAGAGTACTAGCCTTAAGCTGAAGTGCTAAAGGACAGCGCCCAGGCCCAGAGTTCAAGCCCCATGACTGGGGGGAAAAAAAACTGTTCAAAAACCTGTTTATTGCTTAGGAAACACAATAATGCATTCCGTTTTTAAGAGATTATTATATTCAGTGTCAATAGTATAGTTGCAATACTAACCAAATACTTTACTAACAAGTAGTTACATGGTACTTAACATTTGAGAAGGATTTTATAATAGTAATGTACTTGAGAAGCTCCAAGAGCTAAGTAATCTGTCTTCTTATTTTATAAGGGAATAAATGTTCTTGGGTTACTCTATTAGAAGCCATTCACTTGCTATTGTATCTTGCTCTATAGCATGATGTACTTTGACCTACTTTCCAATTTGCTACTTAAAACAGCTCAGTAAATTAGATTGCAGTTTATAACACTGCATTTTATAAATGAATGACCAAAACCTCAACAAGGTCACCTAGCTACTACCAAATGGCAGTACCTCCACAGAAACCAAGTTTTCTGAAACTCAGTACAAAATTCTTTAACCTGTCTATTGCATGTTGATATTTTTTCATTCAAAAATATTATTAGCCAGGCACTAGTGGTTCATGCCTGTAATCCCAGCCACTCAGGAGGCAAGCTCTGAGGTTCATTGTTCAAAGCCAGTCAGAGCAGGAAAGTCTGTGAAACTCCTATCTCCAGTTAACCACCAAAAAGTTATATATGTTTGTGTATATACATAGTTGATCTCTGTTTTCCTCAAGCACACACTAATTATAATGAGTAGAAAAATATTTAATGCAGAGGACATTAGACAGCTCAAGAGCCTGAGTATGTCCACAAATATAAATTGTATGGCCTACTCACAATCTACATATTTGAATTAATTGTAAAAGTTATAAGTATTGTGGACTTTAGCATAAAAATTAGGGTATCTAAAGTATTAGATCTAGTAGACAGTCTGCTTTCTATGTTGCAGCAGTGGCTTAAGCTGAGTGGTAACTGTGCCTATTTGGCCTGTTCACCATCATCATGGCAACTCCTTGTTATCTCCCATGCTCAGCCTACTTCACTCCTTTTGTTTCCTGCCTTTAACCCTGTAGGCCCTGGAGTTTGTGAATTCCTCCTTGGGCTATTATGTACCTTCTAATTGTATAAAAGTCACTAGAAATATTATATCTGTTCCAGATCCGGTTAATGTATTGTGCTTATGTGTTTTTACCTAATTCTTGAGAGTAAAGCATTTTATAGTAGTTATGACCACTGTGAAATCAATGTATTCATGTACACTTTCTATTTTATTTTATTTTTTTACACTTTCTATTTTATATTTCCTTTTTTTCCCTAAGTGACAAATTGCTCTTTTTTTTTTTTTTTTTTTTGAGGGAAGGCTAGAGGCATGAATGGTTTAATGGCCCAGAATTTTTGTTGAGGGTGATAGATATGTTTGGATATAGATAATGGTGATGGTTCTACAACACTGGAAAAGTACTGAATGTCACTGAACTGTGGTTATAATAATAAATGTTATTAAGATTTCCCTATAAAGAATAAAAATCGCTGGGTGCCAGTGGCTCACGCCTGTAATCCAAGCTACTTAGGAGGCTGAGGTCTGAGGATTGCTGTTCAAAGCCAGTCCGGGCAAGAAAGTCTGTGAGACTCTTATCCTCAATTAAAAAAAAAACCACTCAAAAACTGGAAGTGGCGCTGTGGCTTAAGCAGTAGAAAGCTCTCCTTGAGCTGAAGAATGCAGGGACAGCGCCCAAGCCCAGAGTTCAAGCCCCATGACTGACCAAAACAAAAGAACAAAAATTCACCCCAGTTCAGGGGCTACTATTTCCAGGAAACTCTCAGATTGGCTAATTGCTCTTAATGCTTTTCTTCATTTTGGGTTTTCTTTTTAAAAAAATGTTTACCTTTTTTCCTTTTTAAATTCCCGTGTCGTTTATTTTATAAATTTACCTCCTATACTTTTATCTAATGGATCTTTTAGGATTTGGTTTATTTTTCCTTTTGGAATCCTAGAAGAGGGGAGTTTCAACAGGAAAGGACTACAGTAATGAGATTTCCACTTCTCTGGCTTCATTTCTTTCCTGTGACATGATCAACTGGTGTGTTAAAGGTCTTGTCACTGGGCTTTTCTAGATTTAAAAAATAGAATTAGGAAGTGGCGCTCTGGCTCAAGTGGTAGAGCACTCACCTTGAGCTGAAGAGCGCAGGGACAGTGCCCAAGCCCAGAGTTCTAGCCCCACGACTAACCAAAAAAAAAAAATTTTTTTTTCTTCTCTTGGGCTGGGAAGGTGGCTTAGTAGAGCGCTTGTCTTGCATACATGAGGCCCTGGGTTCGATTCCTCAGCACCACATACACAGAAAAAAGCCAGAAGTGGCGCTATGGCTCAAGTGGTAGAGCACTAGCCTTGAGCTGAAGAACTGAAGGACAGAGCCCAGGCCCAGAATTCAAGCTCCATGACTGACAAAAAAAAAAAAAAAAATTAAAAAAAATAGAATTATTGGCCTTCAGAGTTCCAGGTTTTTGTTTTTTTCATGGTATCCATGTCAACCCACTGGTCCTCAAGCCTCAAGGCACAGTTCATATCTCAAACATGCTAGAGACTGCTCTCCTTCTATAAAGATGAACAAGACAGTCTGTGTTCTTAGCCCATTCTGCCTTGCCTCCTCCATTTCCTCCAGTTGCTTATTCTATTCTTTTCAGCTTGCTTCCTTAACTTCACTGAGGAAATAAAAGCAATCAGGAGGACTGAAGAATGTAGCTCTGTGGTAGAGTACCTACTTGCCCCACATGTATGAAACTTTGAGTTCAATCCTCAATACAACTGAAATCAGCCTGGGTATCACCAAAACAAAACAGAGAAAAGCTTTCAATAGGCCAACCACCACATCTACTTACCTACTTGCATCTCATGCTTTCCTGTTCAAGTGATGAACTTAGCTAAAGCCAGCTTTACACTAGATTCTTTTTTTCCCCTAGTAACTGGGCTTAAACGTAGGTCCTTGAGCTGTCACTCAGCTTTCTTATAGCTGATGCTCTGCCACTTGAGCCATACCTCCACACCTGCTACTTTTTTAGTTTTTGTTTTTGTTTGTGGGGGAGAGGAAGGGAGGAACGTTGAGAACAGGGTCTTGCCATGTTGCCCAGATTGGCCTTAAAGCTGTAACTCCTGTCTCTGCTGCCCAACTGTTAGGATTACAGGCATGCACCGCCACATCCTGCATTCATCAGGTTATTATTTCAATTCTTATTCCAACAATGCAATCACCTCTCTCCTCCATGTCAGTTTTCTTTCTTTAGACAACCATCATAAAAGTAAACCATCTTTAAAACAATTTCTGCCTGGTGCCTTCAGATCTGCCATCCTTCTTTTATTGATCGTTTAGTCACTCTACCACTTTCAGTTCCATCCTTCCACTAAAGCTGTTCTTGTCTTTTTTGGGGGGGACAGGTGGTAGTCATGGGGCTTGAACTCTGGGCCTGGGTGCTGTCCCTTAGCTCTTCAGCTCAAGGCGAGCACTCTACCACTTGAGCCACATTGCCACTTCCGGTTTTCTGGTGGTTTATTGGATTTAAGAGTCTCACGGACTTTCCTGCCTGGGATGGCTTTGAACCAC